CAAATTCATGATAATTGATAATTTTTATTGTATGGGAAAGACATTTTCCGTGGATATTTTATGCGAAAATTGGGCGAATTTAAGTCACAAAAAATGCAGGGACGGAGATGTATCATCTCCAGAAATATGTAAAATATTTCGGCTTAATAATGTTAAGAGAAAAAAATGGTGGACTTTAAATTTTTTTTATGAAAATGCTATTAATATGACAATTCAGGGATGGGAATGTGTCATCTTTATTGGATATTATGTAATGGTATTCAAATGTCAGAGTTGCGAATAGAAAATTATCTTTATTAAATATGAAAGTATTTTTCAATGGACTCTTTATCGAAGAAATAGGCTAATTTTTAAATGTCGCATGAAAGTTGTTTAAAAATGAAAAGTCAGGGATGGGAAGGTGTCAACTTCAATGTTAATAACTTTTAAAAAAATTGATAAATTCAAGACAGTTGATGCCCATGTATTTCCAAGGAAGAAAAAAAGATTCCAAATTTGTATATGACACTTATTTTCCGATTGATTGATAACGTATCAATGTCCTACTCAATTTCATTGGCACTTCAAAAATAATCCCATATCATGGCTCTTGAATTAAAAAACAAATATCAAATAACCCCTTTAATATCCTATGATATCCTTACAACATTGTTATCCCATGTGAAACATAAATGAGTCACTTAAAAATTAAATAAAACCAACACAATTAACCTCCCATCCTCCCCATTGGGCACTCACCCCTAAGTGAAAATTAAAAAAAAAAAAACAATTGCACAAATTTGAATTTTGCGTGTGCAGCAGGGCCAGGATATGAAATTATGAATCACAGAGTATTTAGTCCCCCGGAAGGGAGGGTTGGATAATAATTGCAATTGCAGGCCTAAGACCCAGGCTCTATGAATTGCAACAATTCAAAAAGTTCGAGGCGATGGTGAATTGGCAGGATTTGTAAACAAAAAATCGGATACCTTCTTTTTTTAGCATGACAAATTAATTTTGTTGCGCTCAAGTTTGTAAGCAAATGTTTATCCATTAATGTCGCGCCATTGTCGTCATTGCCTGCCACCGTCATGCATTTCATTCATTTGTGGTCGACCGACACCAATCTGTTTTAGTGGCAACAAATGACGACGGCGACAACGCTTGGCTAGAATTATAAGAATGAATCAACAGCAACAACAAAAGGTTACACCACTTTTGGTGTTTTGTGTGTAAACACCCTGAACTGAAAACACACAAAACACACCACTTAACCACCGGGACCAGACAACCATCCAAACCAACCGAAACAGCCGGCCGGCCGGCAAATTCATTCAACATCGACCGACCGACCCTACTTTGGTTTCATTCATCGTGACATTCATTGTGTGCGAAGAAGCAGAAGAATCTGGGCTTCTCGTTTTCAAAATAAAAACCACAACATTGTTGGGTAATTGTAATCAAATTAAAAAAAAGAGGAATGAACGCGCGAACACCTTTTTTTCCACATTTAAAGTGTAACAGTTGGTGGAGAGTTTAAAGATGATATTTAAGGACTGTTCCAGGCAAAAAAAATTTATTTTTGGAATTAATTAGCTACTATAGTTAGGCAAATTAGTAGAAATCAAAAATACAGTAAAAACTCGCTAATCCGGATAATTGATTGCAGACCCCAATCCGGATTACCGAGATTTCCGGATTATCGAGTTTTATTAATTGGTTTAAATTTATATTAATTTGGTGATAATTTAATTATTTTTATGTTTTTATTAAAAATGAAAATTATTCATTTCAAAAATATGAACTTTGAATATAATAGGTACCATTTTCAATTAAATTTGCAACGATTTTTTATTAAAATAAAAAGTAACGTGTCTTTACAATCCGGATTTTTGAGTCAAATAGGTCAATCAATCCGGATTATAGGATACGCAATGGGTTGTGAAATGCAGTCCGGATTACCGAATAATCCGGACTGTCGAGGTCCGGATTATCAAGTTTATACTGTAGGTCATTTGTGTTTATAAAACCCGAATAACCGGTTCAAAAAACACCAGTGGTGACAAAATGTGAGACAATTTCAAAGATAATTAAAGAATCTGAACTAAAATCCAGATTTCCGGATTCTTTTACATCGATAACCGGTTCTTTAAAAATAAGTAACCGGTTTAGTTTGACCCAAAACCGGGTTTATAATTAGCAGGAAATCTGTAAATCAAACGATTACTATGTTTACTAATTAAATTGTAATTATTAAAAAATTATATTTTGTGTTTTTAACCGAGTAACCGGTTCAAAAAATGCCAGGAAAGAAAAAAATTGGATCACTTCTTAGGAACTAAATGAAGAAGAACTATAGCGAAATTTTCGAATTTTTTATATCAATAACCGGTTCTTGAGAAATAGGTAACCGGTTAAGTTTAACAAAAAACCGGGTTTATAATTAACAGGAAATCTGTAAATCAAACAATTACTATGTATAAAAATTAAATTGTAATTATTTGCCAGGTAAAATTCAAATATCGCAGTTAAAGAGACGGGTACCCGGTTCAAATAACATACAGGAACGACAAAAAATTGGATCACTTCTTAGGAACTAAATGAAGAAGAACTAAAAGTGAAATTTCCGGAATTTTCATATCGATAACCGGTTCCTGAAAAATAAGTAACCGGTTAAGTTTAACAAAAAACCGGGTTTATAATTAACAGGAAATCTGTAAATCAAACAATTACTATGTATAAAAATTAAATTGTAATTATTTGCCAGGTAAAATTCAAATATCGCAGTTAAAGAATCGGGTACCCGGTTCAAATAACATACAGAGATATTTACTGTAATTTAAAACAAAAATAAATAAAATGTTAGTGGAATGTTATTGTTCTCCAGCCATGCGGAAATCTTCCAAAATGATATATTTTATTGCCATAAAAGCCGAGTAACCGGTTCAATAAACTCCTAACCGAAACCCCATTGTATATTTGGCAAGAAATCTGTATTGCAGGCGATTACTATTTTTAATAATTGAATATATAGCTCATATAAAATCCAAATATTCTAGATAAAGAATCGGTTACCCGCTTCAAAAAAATTCCAGAGGGTAGGGTCGGTTCTAGAAAAAATATTTTATTGAAATTCAAGGCATAAATTCCTCTTATATGTCTTGTACATTAGGATAATTAGTAGAAATTATATATTTTATTCTCATAAAAACCGAGTACCCGGTTCAGTAAACTTCGGGAATGGTAAAATATTATATTAATTCAAAGAAAATAAAAGAACCGGAATTAAAATCGAGATTTTTGGATTTTTTAAATAGATAACCGGTTCTTGAAAAATAAGTAATCGGTTAAGTTTGACCAAAAACTGGTTGTATATTTTACGCAAAATTTCTATAGAAAAAAATATACTTAAAATTGTAATCATAGGCTGTGCAAATCCAAAATATAGCAGTTAAATAATCGGGTACCCGGTTCAAATAACGGTCAGAGGGTAAGGTCTGTTCTAGAAAAACGAAATTTTATTGGAATTCAATGCTTAAATTCCTTCTATAAGTCTTCTGCAGTAATGATATTTAGTTGAAATCTACCAAAAATAGCTATTTTTAAACCGAGTAACTGGTTCAAAAATAAAAAAAATGACAAAATATTCTATTAACTCAAAAAAAAAAAAAAAAAAAAAAATAAAAGAATTTGAATTAAAATCGATTTTTTCCGGATTCTTATATTGATAACCGATTCTTAAAAATAAGTAATCGGTTCGGGGTAGGAATACCCGGTTCTAAAAACGTCAAATAAGTCAAAATAATTAATAAATTATTCGAAAATTTAAGGCTTAAATACATGTCTGCTATAATTAGAAAATTTACAATACATTCTTCAAAAATATGACATTTGTGATTTAAAAAACCCGATAACCGGTTCAAAAAGCACCATAAATTACAAAATACTATATCTTTTATAAGAAAATGAAAGAATCATAACTAAAATATAAATTTCCGAGGTTTTTGTATTGGTAACCGGTTGTTTTAATAATAAGTAATCGGTTTTCGGTTCGAAAATCACCCAAAAATTTATAAGTTATTGTTTATTTTTTAGTTACAAAATTTTCAATTCAATTTCCCTAAATTTTTTAATATTTGTTGCTATTATTTATTTCAAAAATGTATTTTTGTAGTTGCTTGTATTTTATGTGACCATCCATCAAATGTCATCTTTATTACCCACACAACATTTTTCTATTACACCACACTACATTTTATTATTATTTTTATTTCGAAAATCTCCCTATTCTATTTTTCATTCATTTCTTCTTACATTCCAATAAACACTTTGTTTTACTGAACAAGAATTTCCATTCAAACAATCCAACAACACCAATCATCATCAGCTATACACAACACCACATCAAACCACCCATCCATCCATCCATCCATCACCAATCATCATCCCATTCCTAAATACATTGGATACAACGACATCATCATCTTGTTCGTCATCATCACCATCGACAACCACTACCAAACACCAATACATACACACCAACATCAAACATGCATCCATCCAACCAACACTAATTTATTTTCTTAAAAGAAAAAGCTGAGAAAAGAAAATTCTTTTCTTCAGTTTTTTTGTTTTTGAATAACAAAAAAGACGTTGTAATAAAACAAGATTTTTTCCTCTCTCTCTCCCTTTTTTGTCTTCTTCTTCGGCTGCTGCTTGCTTCGTGATTCGATTTTTCCTACGTTTTTCATCCATTCATTATGATTGTTTGACTTGTTACAAACATTGAATCAATTTGACTGAATGCTGCTGCTGCATCATTGATTCTCACAGAGAGTAAATTGAACAAACACAACAACAACAAAAGAACATTTTTCTTGTAAAAAAGTCAAAAAGCGACAACATGGCTGATAAACTTTAAATCTGCTTGAATTTTCCAACCAAACAATAGTCACTTATTGCCACCAACCAACCACTCACTCACAGACCAGACCAGTTTTTTGCCGCTTTGCCAACTCCCCCCGTCGTGAACAAGAAAACAGCAACCCCATGTCCCATAACAGCAATAGAAGTCTATCGAAAAGCAGCCGCAGTAGCAACAAACATCAACACTTCAATAGCAGCAACAATATAGAAAGTCCAAGCAGTAGCAGCAGTAGTTGTAGCAACAGCGACGCCAACCGTAGCAGAGGCGGCGGCAGTGGCCATAGTTATAGCAACAGCCAAAATTATACCAGCAATTACGATAATAATTTTAGCAACAATTACAGCGGCAACTATAGCGGTGATTATAGCATCTACACCTATACCAACTACAATCAAAAGCAACAAAAACAACAAGTACAGGAACAGGACGAACAGCAGCAACACGATCATTTGAAAGAGCTGCAACAGCAACAGAGGTAAACGAAAAACACACACACAAACGAGCAATCACATTTAAACTGCATAATAACAAAAACAACAAATAAAAAAAAGGCGGCAAACATAATCCCCCATATCTCTCATTGCACGGATACGCACTCATTTATTAACTACTCCTCTCACACGACAAAAGAAAACCCCCACTCTCTGCAAGCATCATCAAGAAATTTTCTAAAATAAATCATAAAAGACACAAAAGAAAGGTTACTTTGGCTCTCCAACTCCCCACTCAGCTCACTCTCCACAACTAACCAACCTCCCTCCCACCCACTCATCATCAAAATACTAACAACAAAACCACTTTAGTTAGAATAACAACAACAGCCAGCAACAAGACATTTTTATACTCCACAAATTGAATGAAAATATTTACTTAACTCCCCAATTAAAAGAGACAGTCACTGAGAGAGCAAGAGACACACTGAGAGAGAGAGACCAATCATCATCATTAAGTAGAGTGGGTACACGGCTTGGCAAAAGGTAGCACGTGCAAAAATAATTTTGCACAAACACACACAACATAATAACAAACAAAAAAAGAAACAAAAATAAACAGGCTCGCTCTCACTCCTCGGCAATAAAAAAACAACAACAGCAACAAACATTTTTGCCAAAGAATCATAAAAAAGGTGATAAAATAATTACAAAAAAGGCAAGGTGGTATTTAAGTAGCAGCAGCAACACTGCAAAACAAAAAACCAAACAAGCATAGCCCTTAAGCCTGCCTATGCGTGCAAACGAGACAAAACATACACACACAAACAATCAAACAGAAGGTAAAGCAAGCAAAGGTGGTCATGCAACATAACACAAAGAAGCAGAAGAAGAAGAAAACATCTGCCGACTACAGACGTCGACAATGAATGCCTTCGCCCCAATGCATTGAAACAAACATACGAAAAACATTACATATAACAAAACACACATCAACAACAATCATCGAGAGACTCGATTTAACCCACAGGGGAGAGTGTGCGAGAGAGAGAGAGAGCAGTCGTGTGTGTACAGTACATTTTACCACAAGTAAACAAAACTAAACTAAAAAACAGGGAGGGAAATTCCTACGCGAGTGTGAGTTTTATATCAGAGAGAATTACCGCGAGAGAGTTTACGATACACACACTAAACAAGAAATACAAACCAGATATAATAACAAGAAGAATTGTGTGGTGGCAAATCAACAACTCTATGAAAAGGAGTAGTAGTTGTTTACTCTCAGTTTGCCAAAGAAAACGAACGTATGCGTAACAAAGGTTTTTTGAATTCGTTGTCGGACAAAAGAAAGGAATAAACTAGTGATAAATATTAAGGAATTTTGATTCAAGAAAGGAATAAAAATAAAACGAAAACAAAAAAAGAAGTCAACTAAAAGGAAATCGATTTATAAAATATATTATAATTAAAGGTAATAATAATTAAATAAATATTTTAAAATGAATAAAAAATAACTACTAAAATAAAAAAATGAGTGATATACAGTGACTTAAAGAGAATGAAAGAAGAAATAACAGTTTTGGTAAATAATGAAAAGTAAACAAAAAACATCAACAAATCAATAATAAATTGAGTAAAGAATAAAAATACCAATAAAAATACAAAAATGAATTTAATTAAAATTTTAAATAAATGTATAATTATATATGAGAAATTAAATGGTGTTGTTCAGTGACTAAAATAAAGGAAAAAATAAGTTTCTCAAAGAACTTACATTAACAAAAATTTAAAAAAAAAATCAATGTAAAAATACGAAAGTACGTGTTTTATCAAATAAAAACATGAGTGGAAAGAAGTAAAAAAATAAATTAAAAAATATTAATTATTATAAAATAATAAAAAGAATAAATTAATATAAAAATTAAAAGAAAAAAGAAATAAAAATATATGTTTACATAAAATCAATAAAAAGTGTCATTTCTTATAGGAATAATAAATATTAAGTTACATAAAATAAAAGAAATATAAACAACAAATTAAAAATAGAAAAAAATAAAGTAGGAAAATAAAAATTAGGTATAAAAAATTAATACCCATAAAACTGGAAAACAATAAATAAAAGTTGAATAAAAAACACTGTTAACAATTAAGAAATTATTAATTAACAAGGAGTCACCTATGAATAAAAAAATAAGAAATAAAATAATTAATTAAAATAAATAAATGTTGAGTGAAATTGTTGGAAACAAAATGAAAATTAATGATTGATATTAAAATTTACCAGAGTTGTAAACTAAAGAATTAATTTGTTTTTAAATTTAATTTAAAATTTAAAAAGTACACAAAACATATTAAAAAAATGTATAAGATATGAATATTAAAAAAAAAAATTAAATACATTTTTACATAATTAAAAAAATGTTCCTGAAATATTACATACAAATGTGTAGAATATTTATAATAAAACTAAAGAAGTTTTTAACTAATTTTAAATTTAATTATTATATTGAAACTTAAAAAAGCAACAAACAAAATAAAAAATAAAATTAAAAAAATTAATTTTGGTTAAAATAACAATATTAAATAAATGCATTTAATAAAATCTGAAAAGTGACTTAAAAATTAAAAAAATAAAAGTAACTATTGAAAAAATAAAAAGAATTAAATAAAACAATATAAAAATAATTAAAAAAAGAAAAATAATAAAAAATAAAATTACCGAAAATAATATATATATTTTTTTTAATATAAATGAAAATAATATAAGCAATTAAATATAAAAACCAATATAATTAAAAATATTTTTAAATTAAAAAAAAAATACCAAACAAATAAATGAGGACCTTAAAATTAAAATTTAAAAAATAATAAAATATATCGAAAATAGTTGACATTCTTTATAAAAAATATCTGACAATGGTTGAATAACATAACAAATCCTTAACATAAAACTCATAAATATGTATTTTTAATATATAAAACTAATACGCAATATGCAGCACTACATTTTGAAATACAGTACGAGCTCGATATTGGCAAACCATAAGAAAAGGAGAACATTTTTTCAAAAATACAACAATTTTTCGAAAATAGTACTAAATTTACAAATTTTTGATTTTTTTCTCTTTTGCTTTAATTATATAAACATTTCGGAGATTATCTTATAAACAAAAACTTCCCTTACAGGGAAATTATTTTTCACAAGAGGAAATTTTTTTATTTCATTTCATCATAACCCTTAGCATTGTAGCAATTTTTCAAAAATAAAAACATTTTTCGAAAATAATTCAAAAATAAAAATTTACCCTCAAAGGGAATTTTTTTTTAGCTTGTGAGGGAAATTTTGGATTTTGTTTAAATTTCTATGGTTTAAATATTTTCAATGAAATTTCAATACAACAATTTCCCAAAAAGGGAATTTTTTTCAAAGGGGAAATTTTCAATTTTTTTTTCCATCTTCCAAAAATACAAACGATTTTTCGAAAATAGTCCATAACTAAAAATTACACCCCAAGGGAAATTTTTTCCTGCGAAAGTTTTGGATTTTTAAATTTCCTCTAATGGGAAATTATATTTCCCGTGGGGGAAATTTTCAATTTTTCTCTATTAACCCCCCGGTTTGTCTTTTCCAAATTAGTCCATAAATACACATTTTTCTCTAAGGGAAATTTTTTTCTGTAAAGGAAATTTAGGATTTTTTTTATTCTTAGGGTTTTATGAATACTAATGCTTTGAAAAAATATAAACACTTCCCAAAAATTCATAGAAACAAACAATTTTCCTTAAGGGAAATTATATTTCCCAATGGGAAATTTATAATTTTATTTTACCAAAAGTTTTACTTTTTTCTCCATCTTCCAAAAATGCAAAATATATTTCGAAAATAGTCCATAAATAAAAATTTCCCTCGAAGGGAAATTTTTTTCTGGCAGGGAAATTTAGGATTTTTTTTTTCGTAGGGTTTTATTAATTCCAATGATTTTAAAAAATATAAAAATTTCGCAAAAATTCATAGAAACAAAAATTTCCCTTAAATGGAAATTAAATTTCCCAATGGGAAATTTTCAATTTTTTTTTACCAAAAGTTATATTTTTGTCTCCATCTTTCAAAAATATAAAATATTTTTCGAAAATAGTCAATAAGAAAAAATTTCCCCCCGAAGGGAATTTTTTTCCTATGAGGGAAATTTTGGATGTTGAATTGATTTCAATGCTTTAAAAATATATAAAAAAATTCCCAAAAATTCTTTGAAATAAAAATTTTCCTTCAAGGGAAATTATATTTCCCAATGGGAAATTTTAAATTTTTTACCAAAAGTTATATTTTTGTCTTTTCTCCTAAGGGGAATTTTTTTATGTTGCCTTTTTTATTAATTCCAATTCTTTAAAAAAATATAAAAAATTTCCAAAAAGTGAAATTTTTATTTTTCGATTTTGCACATAAAGGAAAAAAAATATTTTTTTAAAAATAACCATTAAATTACCTTATTATCCTTGCTGTAATGCTTTTCCTTTTTTATGTTGCCTTTATCGACCGCCTACTGTAATTTCAAGTGCAAGTGCCCGCTTGCAACCCCAAGTGTTCCACAAGTCTTACAAATATCCTGTTTTTGTTTCTTTTTTCATTTTCTCTTCATTTTAAAGAAACCAATAAAGCAACAACAACATAAAGAAGAACCACAACAACAAAACAAAAAAAAATTACGCGCCAAATGCTAAACTTAAATTATTATGGGTCGTTCCAAGTTTCCCGGGAAACCATCAAAATCGATAAATCGTAAACGTATCAGTGTTTTGCAATTAGATCCCAACAATAGTGGTGGTGGAAACGCCAACGATAGTTCGGCATCAGCAGCGGCGGCAGCGACAGCAACAGTTGGAGTAGTAGCAGGAGCAGCCACTGCCACAACATCGCCCATTCACAATACCAGCCATCACAATAACAACAACAATAGTAATAGAAGTTCCTCGGCATCTGCAGGAGGAGGTGTAGGAGGGGGTAGTGAAACTGCAACTGGCTCCCAAAATAATGCTGCCTCATCAAATTCCGAAGATGAGGAAAATGTGCGGCAAACGAAAACGCCGCAAGCGCAGGATGATGAGGATAACCAAGAGGAGGACGATGACGATGATGAGGAGCAGGAGGAAGGCGATCACTTAAATAATTGTGATAAACATAAAAATGGTAAAAGGGAAGATCATGATGAGGATGATGACGAAGGAGGCTCCATGGCCTCCAGAGGAGCAGGAGGAAGTGGTGGTAGTGCTAGCAGTCGTACCACAAATGGTTATGGAGATACCTCATCTTCATCATCATCGTCAGTCTCCTCTTCGTCAACAAATGGCCAACGCCATTCGTATGCTGGTGGTAATTCCCATAAAATCTCACAAAATTCCCACATCAATACCATTAAAATTCCCAAGCCCAGTTTAAGCGCCAAAGTGGAGGCCAACAACAACAGCAACAACAACAAACTTAAAGCACATGCAAAAACCAAGGAACAGTCGCAAGAGAAAGAAGAACGTTTGCTCAATGATGAAGGCCGTAAATCATTAAAATCTCCACCACCTCCAGCCGCTCTGGGATCCTCCTTGTCCTCAACATCCCAACAACAACAGCAGAAATCTTTGCGTAATTGCAAGAAATTCAAAAATTTAAATATTCACAAACCCGAAGTGATGCTGCCGTCATCGTCAAAATTAAAATTGCAACAACAGCAGCAACAAACACAAAATTCACATCCAGAAAAATCCCATATGAAAACAATAGCCCCCTGCTCTCCAGTTTCACAGCAAAGCTCCTCCAGCAGCACAACCACAACAACAGAACCTGTCATCAATAACCAGCAGCAACAACAACAGACAACAACACAAATATGTGAAATGTCATCATCAGCAGCAGCATCATCGCCACCAACAGGCTCTACAAAAACAACAGCAACAACAACATCTGGTTCAGCTGCAACACCCTCCTCCAGCACTTCTGCCACCACAAACTCCTTAGAAATGTCCCCACGTCATAATGAAGCTGCTGCAGCTTCTGCCGATGATCCCAGCCATAAAACAGGAGTTCCGCCAACCATAAATTCTTTGGGGAAAGATAATGCCGAAGATGCTAACAATGCTGCAAGCATGGAAGAAAGGAATCAACAATCTGCTGACCATAATGACACTCATCATCGTCATCATCGTGATGATGCTAAGGATGATGATCACGAAGTTGGTGTTGATGAAGATGACGGTGGTGATGCGGAGGATCATGATGATGATGGAAATTCCAGTTCCAGTCCACACAATGACTTGTTGGTAAGTCTTTGACAAGATGGTTTTTCAATTTTATTCAATTTTTTATGTATGTGTGTATGGTGTGTGATTGTATGTGATTTTTTTTTGCCTTCTACTTCCTCTTCATATTCTCCCTAACTTGTTTTGATTTTTCAATAACAAGGCTGTAAACAGTGGCTCAAAGGGGTAAAATAAGTCATTAGGGATTTCAGGGCACCAGAGGAAATTTTTCCTCTCTAGAGGATTTTTTCTATGGAAAAATAAGTTTTCAAGCGACCTGAGGAATTTTTGTCTACAGAAAAAAGACACCTTAGAGGACCGAAGGAAGTTTTTTCTATAAAAAAATACATCTCAGAGGACCAGAGGAATTTTTTATAGGAAAATACAAATCAGGCCAACTGAGGAATTTTTCCTACAGAAAAAATACACCTCAGGGGATCTGACGATTTTTTTCTATAGAAAAAGAAGTCCTTAGGGGCATCAGTAATTTTTTTTCTATAGAAAAGAAAGTCCTCAGGGAACTGAGGATTTTTTTCCTATAGAAAAAGAAGTCCTCAGGGACCTGAGAAATTTTTTTCTATAGAAAAGGAAGTCCTCAGGGACCTGAGGAAATTTTTTCTATAGAAAAAGAAGTCCTCAGGGAACTGAGAAATTTTTTTCTATAGAAAAAGAAGTCCTCAGGGACCTGAGGAATTTTTTTCTATAGAAAAAGAAGTCCTCAGGGACTTGAGGAATTTTTTTTCTATTGAAAAAAAAAATTCTATTGAAAAAGAAGTCCTGAAAAAGAAGACCTGAGGATTTTTTTCTCCTGAAAAAGAAGTTCTCAGGGACCTGAGGAATTTTTTTATATTGAAAAAAAGTCCTCAGGGACATGAGAAATTTTTTTTTCTATAGAAAAGGAAGACCTGAGGAATTTTTTTTCCTATAGAAAAAGAAGACCTCAGGGACCTGAGGAATTTTTTTCTATAGACAAAGAAGTCCTCAGGGACCTGATGATTTTTTTTTCTATAGAAAAAATACATCTCAGGTGATTTCTTTCTATAGGCGACCTGAGAAATTTTTCCTATAGAAGAAAAAGTCCTCAAGCGACCTAAAGAGTTTATTTCTATAAAAGAGACACATCAGGGGACCTAAGCTTATTTTTTTATAAACTTCTTTATCTATAGAAGAAATTCCTTAGAAGAAGAAACCCTAAGTACATATGACGGAATGTACTGAATGTCGGATCTTTTTTTCTCTAGAAAAAGACCGGCAGAGACCTGATAATTTCTAAAGAAAAAGACTGACGACTTATTTTCTGTAGAAAAAGACTGACGACTTCTTTTCTGTAGAAAAAGACCCGCAGAGACCTGATAATTTCTAAAGAAAAAGACTGACGACTTCTTTTCTGTAGAAAAGCCCTTAGGAAAAAGTCACCTCAAGAACCTGAGAACTTCTTTTTCTCGTCTCAGGACCTAATGAGATTTTTATCTATAGCTATGAAAGACTCCTTTCAGCTCTGATCTGGCTTCAGATCGTCTATGAAAGATTCCCTTTAGCCCTAGCGGTCTTCAGCTTATCAATATAGACTCACTTCAGCCTTGGCTGGCTTCGGCTCATAAATAAAGACTCCCTTCAGCCCTGGCTGCCTTCGGCTTGTACATAAAATTTTGCTACATCCCTATGGACTTCTTTCTCTATAGAATGAATTCTGAAAGGCATTCTCTATCAATAGAAAAATATTCTACAATGCTGTATGGGGCTTTTGATGGACCTTGTATCAACAGAAGTTACTCTGAATTGTCTTTAGTCCAAATATGCGGTTGGGTAAGGACTTATGTAAGGCATTGCATCAATAGAAAATTATTCCAAAAATAATGTATGAGGCTTTTGATCGGCATTATATCTTCATAAGAGCCTCTAAAATGACTTCTGTCTATGGAGAGCCTTTGATTCTTCTGAGATACTTCATATTGAGCGTTTTTTACTTATATCCATAGAATTCGGTGTGTAAGGACTTATGTAAGTCATGCATCAATAAAAAAAATTATTCCGAAAATAATGTACGAGGCTTTTGATCGGCATTATATCTTCATAATAGACTCTAAAATGCCTTCTGTCTATGGAGAACTTTCGATTATTCCGACATACTTCATATTAAGCGTTTTTTACTTATATCCATAGATGTTGTTGTGTAAGGACTTATGTAAGGCATTGCATGGATAGAAAATTATTCCGAAAATAATGTATGAGGCTTTTGATCGGCATTATATCTTCATAAGAGCCTCTAAAATGCCTTCTGTCTATGGAGAGCCTTCGATTCTTCTGAGATACTTCATATTGAGCGTTTTTTACTTATATCCATAGAATTCGGTGTGTAAGGACTTATGTAAGGCATGCATCAATAAAAAAAAAAAAAATTATTCCGAAAATAATGTACGAGGCTTTTGATCGGCATTATATCTTCATAATAGACTCTAAAATGCCTTCTGTCTATGGAGAACTTTCGATTATTCCGACATACTTCATATTAAGCGTTTTTTACTTATATTCATAGAAGTCGTTGTGTAAGGACTTATGTAAGGCATTGCATCAATAGAAAATTATTCTAAAATACAGCATGAGGATTTCGGTCTGTAATCGGGCTTTTATATACCGAAGTAATTCTGAAATGTATTCTGTCTATAGAATACTTACTTAAAGACTTTATGATGTATGTTGCAAAAAATTCTGACCATAGAAGTGGTTATGTAAGGACTTTTGTAAGGCATTCCATCTATAGATACATATTTTTAAATACGTTATTAATGGATTTAGGTTCTTTCGAAGATCCTTTTATATGTAGAAGATATTTTACAAAATGTTAAGCCCATAGAATACCTTCTTTAAGTAATTACAAGAGTCATTACCTAATGCAATCTACCTTAAGAACTTCTGTATATAGGTATTCTTATAAATGAATTATCATTCGCAAACGATTTTTATGCTTAAATAAGTTCTGCTGCATAGATAAGTCCTTATAAAAGTGCTTCCAAAGACCTTACATGAAGTATGTACATGGGTTCTGCTATATTTTCCATCTATGGATGGACTTCTAAACATACTTCTATCCATATCTATAGAAGTACTTCGGTAAGGTATCGTGTCGAAAGAAGACTGATACTCCTTCCAAAAGGCCTTCTAAAATGACTTTCAATTTTCAAATGTAATTAGGAGGATGATACCAAAGAACGTATTTGAAGGTGGCCTTCTGAAGGGTCATTTCTTTCACACCCTCTCAAAAAATTGTGTATATTCCAAAAAAAAAAAAATCCGATTCCAAATATTTATTGACAAACCAAAAATATATTCCTGACACTTTCATGACAAGTTATGGCGCTTACTGAATAAAATACCAAAACAAAAGACGAGCATTCGAAAAAAACAACAAGAATGTGACCCTTGTCATTGAAACCGCAAAAGAGGCAAGCAAAACAAGAGAAGAGCGGAACAAAAAAATCCTAAACCTGTTGATCTGGGTGCTGTACTACTGGTTGCCTGTGTGGCTGCCAGCCAGCCATCCATTCAGCCTGTGCTTGACTTTAACCTCAAAAGTTGGCGATGATGATGACGACGACGACGATCACTATCATCAACATAATCAGCGTGGAGGCATAATAAATACAAGTTTTAGTTGTTTTTCGATCTTTTTATTTTCCTCCTCTTGTGGTGTCAGGAATGAAAACAAAAAAAATATGAAGGGCAAAACCAGCATCGAAGAATGGGAAGAAAAAAAAATTGGCAAAACCCAAGAACAGATCCATCAAAATGATATGTTTATCGAGGGCAATGATGAAGAACCGACCATGACGAATAAGAAATTAAAATAATTTTCCTATTTAAATAAAATCAGGACAGTGGAGCTAAGGAGAGAAGGTAACCACGAAGTGGGAAGAAGTCTTTGGTGAGGGACTGAAGGACCAATGAGTCTAGGTAGAAGAATAGAACACATGACATTTCTGGAAGCTCAGATAAATTAGCTATACAGCAGATCTGAAGACCACGCGAGTCTCAAGTCCTATTTTCTCTTGAAGATTTATAAAGGGTTCATATATAGCGCTGACTTTGTATAGTCCCTCAGAAGATAGAGCGCCTGTGGAACTCTTCTATATATATATGAGATCGTACAAAGCTCATTATAAAGTCTTCCAAAAGAATGAAACAATTTCGAAAGCACTTTTAAAGAGATAATGTATAGGAAGGTCTTTTGGAAGCACTTTCGTAAGGACTTCTATCGACAATATACCTGACAAAAGGACTTCGAAATATAGAAAGCATAATAGAACGCAGAATATCCTCTGGAAATTCAAAAGATATTCTTATTACACGATGCTTTCTCCTTATAAAACGACTGGAAATTCTTAGAGAAGGCATTACAGAATCACTTTCATGGACAGAAAACCTAACCAGGCTCATCATGTGACCTTTCTGAAGATATTTTATGGGTGTTGGGTATCTGAAGCCTTTATATTCAAAGAAAAGGTTTCTGAAATAATTGTAAAGAAAGAAGACGTTCGGAAGGTGTTTGGAAGCACTTTGGTAAGGACTTCTGTAGATAAAATATCTGATAGAAGGTATTTTGGACATTTGAGAAAAACTTCTAGCTAGCTGAATTGGTTTAATATTCTAAATTTTGGCAATTTTCATAGCTGAATAAATCCTATATAACTTTAGGAATAACTTCTAGGAAAGTTTTCAGCAAATTCAGCTAGCTGAATTTATTAAAAAATTACAATTTTGGGAAATTTATCTAGCTGAATGTATTGATATTTGTTTCAGGAATAATAATCGTTATTTATTTTGAAAAATGCATGTGTTTTCAATGAATTCAGCAACCTAACTTTGTAAAATATATACATTCTCGAAAATTCAGCTAGCTGAATGTGTTTCTATTTTTCACAAATAATAATTATTACTTTTTCTTGTTCAATTGTAGTGTTTTTAGTCAATTCAGCAAGTAAAGTTTGTCCAATAATTACTTTTTTTTTGGAATTCAGCTAGCTGAATATGTTCATATTCCTTTCAAGAATAATATCCATTGTATGTTTTGTTAAAATTAGGAAATTCAGCTAGCTGAATTCGTTAAACAATTACATTTTTGGTATTAAAACTAGCTGAATTGCTTTGAAATACCTTCGGGAATAATTAAACGTATTTATTTTGTAAAAAATAAGGCATTTGGCCAAATTCAGCTAGCTGAATTTATTAATAAAGTATATTTTCACCAATTCAGCTAAGTGAATTGTTTTCGAATGTCTTCAGAAATAATATAATATAGTTATTTTGTAAAATAATAATGTCTTTAATGAATTCAGCTAGCTGAATTTGATAAATAATTGAATTTTTCACCACTTCAGCTAGCTAAATTGGTTCATATTACTCCAAAACATAATAACACATATTTATTTTATGAAATATAAAAATAATTCTTCAATTCAGCTAGCTGAATTTGTTAAATATTTATATATTTGCAAATTTGGTTAGCTGAATTGCTTTAAATTGTCTTCAGAAATAAGAAAATGCTATTATTTAGTAAATTTGTACGGTCTTTGATCAATTCAGCTAGCTGAATGTGTTAAATAAGTCCATTTTAACTAATTCAGCTAGCTGAATTGATGTAAATTTCCTTCAGAAATTACAATATTCATTAATTCTGTAAAATAATCGGGTCTTTTATGAATTCAGCTAGATGAATTTGTTAAATTATTCTATTTTGACAAATTCAGCCAGCTGAATTGCTTCAAATTATCTTCTGCGATAATAAAAAGTATTTATTTTGTAAAATTACAATATCTTTAATCAATTCAGCTTGCTGAATTTGTTAAATAATTGTGTTTTCAACAAATTAACTAGCTGAATCGCTGCAAAGTGACTTCTCTAATAATACTACTTACTTATTTTGATAAATAATAAATTCTTTGATCAATTCAGCTAGCTGAATTTATGCAATCATTACATTTTCACTAATTCAGCTAGCTGAATTGATGTAAATTTCATTCATAAACTACAGTATACATTGCTTCTGTAAAATAATCATGTCTTTCATGAATTATGCTAGCTGAATTGTTTAAATTATTCTAATTTTACCAATTCAGCTAGCTGAATTGATTCAAATTATATTTACTTTTGTAAAACAACAATGTCTTTAATCAATTCAGCTAGCTGAATTTGTTAAATAATTATGTTTTCAACAAATTAACTAGCTGAATTGATTCAAAGAGACTTCACAAATAATACTACCTATTTATTTTCAGAAATAATAAATTCTTTGATCAATTCAGCTAGCTGAATTTATGAACGCATTACATTTTCAACAATTCAGCTAGCTGAATTGTTTTATAATACCTTCTGAAATGATAAATTTTGGTTATTTTATAAAATAATGCAATCTTTAATTTATTCAGCCAGCTTAATTCCCAAATTTCTTAATATTTACGCCGTTTTCTCCAGAGATTTCTCGTAAAGAAATTGCGCCATATGATGTCAACAATCTCAAATATTCAATGACACCCCTTTTCTGGCAATTGCAACCCCCTGTTATTTTGAAGTCCCATTTCTGGAAATATAAAGTCAAATTTACGTCGTAATTGATTGATACTTTAAGAAATGGGAATATTTGTTTAGGAAGCAACAACAGCAACAACAACTGCGTCTTATTTTCTAAAACGATTTCTTGCCATTTTTCGATGTGACAGGATAAGGGATGAACGGATCGGAACGAAAAACAAATATGCCATCAACTACCCTTTATTTTGGAAATGTTCAAAAATGTATTTTATGGTACTGTACCCAAATTATCATCATCATGATGATGTGTCATTATTATCCTTAAATGAGTCCTGGACTAGAAAAACAGATGGCTTCCTCCTCGTCTTTTTGAAAAGCAACTACAACAACAATTCAATATAGGGCAATAAAAACAACAGCAAAAATTAACCCAAAGTGGTCACTTAGTCATCGCCAATGCCAAAAATAAAGTCGTA